TGCGGGCTCAATCCCCAGTAGGGGGCATGCAGGAGGCAGCCGATCAATGATTCTTTCTCATCATTGATGTTTCCCTCTCTCCTTCACCCCTCCTCTCTGAAATCAATTAAAAAAATATATATATATATGGAAATCATCAGGGCCTTGCCAGTGTGTTTCAGTGGTTGAGTGCTGACCCAGGAAGCAACAGGTTGCCGGTTCGATTCCCTGTTCGATTCACATGCCTGGAGTTGCGGGCTTGATCCCCAGAAGGCAGCCAATCGATGGTCCTCTCTCATGGATGTTTCTATCTCTCTCCCTCTCCCTTCCTCTTTGAAACCAATAAAAATATATTAAAAAAAGAAAATACATTTCCAGTATTTATTGAAAAAAAAAATGCATGTATAAGTGGACCCATGCAGCCCAAACCCTTGTTGTTGAAGGGTAACTGTATTTTTGAGCATTATTATGTGCTAAGCCCCATGCTAAGTGCTCACTATGGGCTGAGCACTGTGCTAAGGATCCTACATTGATTATATACTCAGGTCTCCAAGGGAAGGAAGAACTTTGCTCACTCTAACGGCTGGGCTCATGCAGGCCAAACCCGGAGGTTGCCCAGAACTCCTAAATTAACCTGGGAGTGAAGTTGTCAAGGTATTACCTGTATACATAATTCCGTTAATCTCCACTGACATGTTAATACTATTGCTGCCATTGGTGCTGGTCAAGTTTGCAGCCGAGTCCTGGCGGCTCTCAGAGGCTGTGGGAAGAAGAAAAGCCACCATTTGGAATCACAAACTCATCGGTGCAATGATCCTTTTCACATCTATCCATCCCCATTGGGCTTTAAGCTTCACAAAGCTGCGGACTGTACCCGCCACCAGCACAACAGGACATAATAAATATGGGATTAAGAATGTATTTGTCTGACACTGGCTTTTATCATGATTGTAATTCTTAAGCGATGTTGCACACCCAAGTCATGTCATTCTTTTTAACAGCCACAAAGTCTACCAGACGTGACTCACTCATTCCTCACTGATGGACACACACATCGCTTCAAGGCCTGTTACAACATCATGCAAATGACTGCCATGAACAAACTTGTCTAGACAGGTATCCCCTGCTTTCTGAAAATTCACACTATACCACTTGGAAAGACTTCATAGGAATTCCCTGCTTCCCGAGAGCGGAGACACCCGCGTTTCCTTGAGCACCTGCTTGGTATTGACTGGTTCTGCTGTAGATACCAAGCAGATGGCCCATCACATTTTCTCTTTTTCAGAGACTGCCAAATTGTCACCTATTTACACTCCCACCAGCAGGACCCATTTCCTCACATCCTGAGCAACGGTTGATATTATCAAACTCTGATGGGTGAAAAGCGGTGCCTCCTTGTTAACGTGCAGATCCCCATCTGGAGGGAGCCGAACAGCTTTTCTTTTCCATCCTTACAAGGGGCCATGTGTTTGTTGATTTTAGAGAAGGCGAAGGGAGAGGGGGAGAGAGAAACATCGATGAGAGAAACATCGATGTGAGAGAGAAACATCGATTGGTTGGACCAGAAATCGAACCTGCAACCTTTTGTTGCATAGGACGACACTCTAACCAACTGAGCCACACCGGCCAGGGAATTTACTAGTCACAACTGCCCATTTTTCCCTATCGATTGTTTGCCTTTTTTTTCTTATTGATTTGTAGGCACTTTTTACATAGGTTGGCTCCAAGACCCTTATTTTGTTACACATGCAGAGAGCATGGAGGGTCTGGGTGGTGGGTTGATACCTTGGCTGTTGATACGAATGCTCATGGGCAGCTGGGCTGTCATAGCCAGGAAGTTCTGCTGTAGCGCTCGCTGCATGAGCCGTTGTTGCTCATCCGCCACCAGGGCCATCTTCTTCTCCGGAGGCTCCCCAGACTCCAGCTTCTCCCGAAGCTGCTCCAGGGCGGCTGCCTGGGCTGCCACGGCTGCCTGGGCTGCTGCTGCTTGCACTGCTACTGCCTGGGCTGCCACCACGGGGTGGCCTGCCAGGGAGACTGGCAGGCGACCGGGGACTGTGATGGGGATGGCCGAATCCTCCTCTAGACAGGAGAGAAGAGGAGTTGGTGGCCAAAAGGGAAGTGAGGTGGCTTGGCTCGGCCTTCCACCCACACAAGAATGAGCATTCTCTTGAATACCTCCACTGATGGAATGCTCACTCCCTCTCTGAGGGAAGTAATTTTTAAAGTTTATTTATTTAATCCTCACCCAAGGACATGCTTAGAGAGAGGAAGGGAGAGAGAAACATCGATGTGAAGATCGAACCCGCAACCCAGGTATGTACCCTGAATGGGATTGAACTGCCACCCTTTTTTCCCTCATTGATCCCTTCCACTCTGCCCCTGCCCTTTCCAGGCTGTCACCACACTATTGTCTGTGTTCATGGGTTATACATATACTCATATACATTATTTGGTTAATCGCTCCCCCACCAATCCCTCCACCCCCCACCTTTCAACTTAATCCACCACCACCTTGGAATCAAACTGCCACTTTTTGGCGTACGGGACCAGGCTCTAACCACTGAGACAGCCGGTGGCCTGGGCAGTAACCAGGTTTCTGAATAGACACAAGTGCTATAAAACACTTTCTAAAGCAGGTGATCATACGGGTGATAACACCACTAGTTATATACTAGTATTACAATAGTATTTAGCATTAGTACTACGTAGATACTATAATACCATATAACATATTATATAATACCAGTCATAACAACAAGGCTCAGAACATGTCTAAAGCACTTCCATCTCAAACAGGAACCATCTCAAAGGGCCATTTCAACAACCCCCAGTCTACTCTTATCTCCAGATGAGGAAACTAGGGCTCAAAGAGGATTCATAACTTTCCCCAAGGCCACAGGGCTGGAGAAAGGCTGAGCTGGGATTCGAACTCAGGCAGCCCAACTCCAAACCAGCTCCTAACCATTCCCCGCTTCTGTGGTTAAAACAAATGTCCTCGTCTTTCCCATCCACTAGGACCACTAGGGTCCACTAGGACCTGCTGTCTCTTCTTCCCCCTACTCTCTCTGCTGTCTATTGTTTCCAGGCTCTCTCATGATTCCCCTTTTATGTTTATTTTATTTTTTTAAGCCTTTTTATTTTTAAAAAAATATTTTTATTGATCTTTTTACAGAGAGGAAGGGAAAGGGATAAAGAGTTAGAAAAACCGATGAGAAATATTGATCAACTGCCTCCTGCACGCCCCCTACTGGGGATCGAGCCTGCAACCAAGGTACATGCCCTCGTCGGGAATCGAACCCGGGATCTTTCAGTCCATGGCTCGACGCTCTATCCACTGAGCCAAACTGGTCAGGGCATGACTCCCCTTTTATCTTATCTGCTACCATCTTCCCCAGCTCCAGCATGAGACCTGGTCCACATGGATGCTTAATAACCTTTAACAGGAGATATAGTTGAAGCTCCCCAAAGCCAGGAGAGTAAACCAAGGCCCACAGAATACTGAGTGACTAATATGAGCAAGACCTAACTTTTCAGGGCCTTGTGGGGATTGCCTCAGATCCTTGGGCCACTCCCAGGAAGTAGGGAGTCACAGCCTGTGCGGTAGAGGAAAAGTAAGAACCCAAACATGCAAACCGGCCAGCACGAGTCCATACTGCCACATGTGCTATCTGTGCTCTAGATTAGGAAGGATTCCAGGCTCACGGGAGAGAAGACTGTGATTGACTGGTGATGTCTGCCATGGGTGCGAACTAGGAATGGGAGGCTGTTTGTCAGGCATCTGCAAACCTGGGCCTGTTGCATGCTGGGCATTTTATACACTGAAGGCTCCCAACAATTCTATAATAGGCGGCAATTGTCTCCACTTTACTCATAACGAAATCGAGCTCAGAAAGGGACACTGAGCTACCTAGGGGCACCTACCAATAGCTTCAGAGACGGTTAAAGGGTCAATTTGATAGACCCATACTGCACTCTCAATGATGTCTGCCGGGGCAGAGTGATGAGGAAGATTCTAAAGTTCGAAGGGAAAAGAATACAGTGATGAACTAATAACGTCTGTCATGGGCAAGGTGCTGAAGAAAACTACGGTGATGAATAGTGTCAGCCACAGGCAGAAGACGGGGCCAGTGCTACAAGAAATGATTAGAAACGCACGCTCAATTAACAACTGCCTTGGGTGGACTGGGAAAACGGAGATTCATTAGTAATGTCGGGGTGGGACACGTGTGCTTGATTTGTAATGTCTGCCTTGGCATAGAACTGAAGAAAAAACTATTGATTAGTGGTGCTGCCAAGGGCTCAGGATTAGTAATGTCTGCTTGCTGTGGACATGGGTTTGAAAAATGTTAATTGTTTAGTAATGTTTGCCATGAGCACAGGTTTGCCACCCTCTCCCAGGACAACTTTGGGAGTTGGTCAACCTGTTTACCCAGAGAGGGGAAAAGTACCAGCCCACAAGCCACACAACCGGAGCTGGGAGCAGACCCCAGGCTCGTGCAGCCCCCTCCTTACCTTTCTTGATCTTGGGGGCTGGGGCGATGGAGCTGCCATTGGTGCTGGTGGCCAGGCCCAGGGAGGACACGGGCAGTTTGGGTGAGGAGAGCATGCTGTGGGCACCACCTGGTGAGTAGGCGAAGAGGGAGCCCCCAAAGCTCTGGCGCCGGCCCTCCCGCCGGTTGCTGTCAATGGCCGCCTGGAGCTCATTGGGGTTGCTGAGGCCGCGTTTCTCACACTCGTAGGGGTAAAGGTACTTCATGTACCTATGGGAAGGGGAGAAGGGACAAGGTGGCACCTGGGACGCCTCCCGTGACTCCCTGCTGCCCGTGGCATTCCCGCTGTGGCACCACTTCCCCGCCTCCATCGTGCATCGCTGCCAGGGAATCGCTCGACAATGCTGAGCCAGGCTGACCGCCTCCCACTAATCCTCTAATACTGAATTCCAGAACCTCAGAGCCAGGAACTTCCTTAAAGCCCCACCCCAAGGTTCGCAGGATTCCGACTCCTCACGTGGCCCTGTGCCTCTGCGGTCCTTCCTGTCCCAGGCCCCCTGCGCGCGCAGCACTCACTGGGTCCGCAGGGTGAAGGCAGCGCTGGTGATGGACGTGGGCAGGTTGAGGCCCTTGGTGATCTCCCGCCACAGCTTCTTATTGATGACCTCCACCAGGCCGCCCTTTTCCGTCACCAGCACATACAGCATGAACAGGTCAAGCACCTGCTTTGCCATGATGGGGATCCGGTTCACGGGCGTCCCTGTAGGGGAGGGCCAGTGTGGGCGAGGGGGTGCTGCTGCCAGGGCCAGGGCCCCACAGGCAGCAGATGCTGAGTCTATGGCTCACACACAGTTCAGAGCAGGGTCTCCCCAGCCGTGTGGACATCAGGGTGGGTCACGCTCTGTGGGGGCATCTGGACACCGTGGGAAGTTGAGCCACATCCATGGTGCCCACCCACTCGATGCCAGGAGCACCCCCAGTAATGACAGCCATAGATATCCCTGGCATTGCTCAGTGTTTCCTGGGACAGATCGCCCCAGGTGAGACCCATCCCCTGCTCCAGGCCGTACTAAGGTAACAGCTCTGCCTCAGTTTCTTTTTAAAGATTTCTTTTTATTGATTAAGGGCGAGGGAGACAGAGAGAAGCTTCGATGTGAGAGCAAGACATCGATTAGCTGCCTCCTGCTCACCCTCTACCAGGAATCGAGCCTGTAACCTGGGGCATGTGCCCTGACTGGGAATCGAACCAGCAACCTTTCAGTACATGGGATGATGCCCAACCAAGCGATCCACACTGACCAGGGCAGGGTCCTCAAACTTTTTAAACAGGGGGCCAGTTCACTGTCCCTCAGACCGTTGGAGGGCCGGACTATAGTTTAAAAAAAAAACTATGAACAAACTCCTATGCACACTGCACATATCTTATTTTGAAGTAAAAAAACAAAACGGGAACAAATACAATATTTGCATTTGCATGTGGCCCGCTGGCCGTAGTTTGAGGACCCCTGGACCAGGGCCTGCCTCCATCTCCTTATCAGTGATCTGGCTCATTGCTCAGCTCAACTAAACTGAGGGGAGAAGACGAGTGTAGAGGGGCAGATGCGGGGGACCAGTCTGGGGAGGAGCACGAGAAACGCGGCCTTTGTTGTTCCTACTCCCGTCACCACCCACAGCAGCTGCCAAAACAACCGTGCCTGAGCTCCCAGAGGCCCGCTCCTCCGGGCTGGTTTGCGGTGTGTGTGGGGAGGGCCGTAGTCAGGGAGAGAGCGCTTGGTTAATCCACTTACAGCAGTGGTTCCAACGGGGCGCACACGCCCCACAGGGGGGCACTTGGAATTTCAGGGGGGGGCATTCGAGAATGAGTGATTAACGGCAAATTTTTTACATGTCTTATGGTGCTAGGGGCCTCATGTACAGCATATAAATATATATTGTGACCTATTTATGCATTTCAGTTCTCTGTGATATGTTCTGAAACTTTATTTGCTATATTTTCATATTACTTGACATTATTATTTTTTAAAACAATTTCTTAGTAATTTCTTCCTCGGTACTTCAACTGTCCTTTCGTTCTTCTCTTTTTCTCTTTCATGGGTGCCATGTTCTTTGGAAGCTTGTTTAGACCAAGTTAATGGCCTTCTGGCTTCCTCCACGTGAATAGGAGTTCACTTTTTGTACAATAAGAATTATATGTTGGGGGAGGGGGGACATCGTCAGGATTTTAGGATGCTTAGGTGGGGCGTGGCCACAAAAAGGTTGGGAACCACTGACTTAGAGAGTGGGGCAGTGAGCTAGCCCAGGGCGACAGGCAGGTGGGGCAGCCCAGGGAGGGGAAGGTGGTGGCTTGCCCAGGGAGAAAGGGCAGTGGGCTGGCTCAGTGAGGGGAGGACTGCCCCCTGCAGAGAGGCCTGCTCCCCTCTTCTGCCCACCTGACCTTCTATATCCTCTTACCCAGAAGTTCCCAGCCTCAGAGCCTTCAGATTTCAGTGTGGCCTGTCTGGCGCTTTCCTGGCCAAGGGCAGAGAAGGCCCCCTTCAAACCTCTCTCCCTGGCAGGGGGATCCTGGGCATCCTTTCTGTGCACCCCTCGCCCTGCCCTGCTCACTTGGATCCTCCGTGCCCAGCCTGGCACAGAGCGAGCATTCCACAACCAGTGAAGGCTGACAAGCTACATCTCAGCCTAAGGGTCATGCTTACCGCCCACCCCCCCTTCGAGATGGACAAAGGGGGGCTGCAGAGTGTGACCTGATGGAGGAAGGTTCGAGGGAGGGGCCAGCTTGCCTGTCCCACGGGCCTGGACGCCGCCGTCCACCTCTGGACATTCTAGAACCACCTCCTGCCACCTTTTCACTGCTTTCTGGCCCTTCCCACGTTGCAAAATCCCCAATGAACTGAGAACCACAGGAAAATGGACCTCAGACCTTCCCCCATCGCCCCAATTTCATTTTCAGCCCAAGGGGGAGAGAGAAAAAGCAACACCAGTGTCAGCACACTCGGCCGGAGATGTGGTCACAGCGCCATCCTGCCTGGACACAGATTCAGGCTCTGCCCGGTGGGGGTGGGGGTGAATGGAGGAATTGGATCCTCCGGGCTCTGCCGCAAGCAGGCCAGTGGGGCCTGGGCGGATGTTTATAGAAGGAGGGGCTGGGAGAGCACAGAGAGGCATTGAGGGTGGGCAGTGAGGGCTGTGGGGGAGATAAGAAGGGTGGAGAGGTCGTCAGGGAAACAGCAGGAGGGTGGGGTGAGGCTCTTACTTTGTGACCCTCTGTCTGGAGGGCAGCTGGTGAGATGCAGGACCCGGTGTCCTGGGCGGAGGGGGTCTGACAGATTCTCTCCCCCAAAGGCCCTCAATTACAAGGGAGGAGGGTCCAAGACGGCAGAGAAGAGAGGGCCTTGGAGCTGGGTTTTGAGAAACGCATAGGAGTTCACTGCCGCCTACCCTCCCGGAGCACCGGTCTTGGTGAAGAAGGCAGGACCGGACACAGACCCTCACAGCCCTGGTTGGCCAGGGGCTGGACTGATGTATCTGGGGCCCCCTAGCCTCACCCACAGCCAGGGGCAGCTCACAGTACCTTCTAGGTACCTCTAAGACACCGGGTGGCTGGTCTTGGGTAAAATGGGTGGACTCCAGGCCTGGAAACTCTGAACCCCATGGCAGGGGGGTAGGAGGGAGGGCCCAGGCAAGTGTGGACAGGCCGATAAAGAGAGCAGGGGCATCTCTCTGACCACACAGGGGACAGCAGCCCTGATGGGGGCTGGACCGGACGATAACACGATAACATGAGAGGGGCCCCTACCCCGGGGCTGGGTCTACATTCTTCCACCCCAGCACAGGAGGGGTTAACTCAGAGGCTGAGCCCCCTCCCCTTTCATCTCCTTCCCTCTGGGCCTGACTAGGCCTGTGTTTATAGAAGCTACTGGAGAGGGAGGGGTGGGCAGAGGCCCAGGACAAAGCAGCCGGGCCAGGCCCCTGCAATGGCCTGAGTGGACCCTGCAGCCCGCTGGCCCCACCCCTTCCTGCCTCTGTGGCTCCAAGGCTGTGTGCCCTCCCTGGGCCTCAGTTTCCTTCTCTGAGCAGCAGGATCATAAGAACCCCCACGGGGCTGTAAGGGGTCAGAGGAATGAGCCCTGCCCCCCGCTGTGGGCGTTCCTATTCCTACAACAGGCCTGGGGTCTCCTCCCTGTGGCAGCTCCAAGCTGAGGGTGAGGCCCGTGGGCGGGGGACCTCTGGGGGCCCCCTAGCTGCCCCTTGTCCTCTATGAACCTGGGTCACCCCAATGCCTCTGCTCTCCTCCATTGTCTGGGCCTCAGTTTCCCCACCAACTCACTCACTCACTCACTCACACCAGTCCCCGCTCCTGTCACTGTTCTCAAGGCTCCGTCATTTCCTGGTGGTGCCTTGGTTGGTGTCCATCTCACCCCAGACCAGGGGAAATGAGGGATGGGCTGCAGTGGCAAGGTATACTGTTGGCACTCAATAAATGCAGCTTGGTATTCAGTATGTTTGGGGCACTGCAATCAGCAGGGACTGACTGTGGCCCATCTTACAGACAGGGGAACTAAGGCCCCGTAGGAGCAGGGGAGGGGCTGTGGCACCAGAGGGCACTCTAAGCCACGAGAGCTTGAAGCCTGCGTGGGGAGCTTCCGTCCTGCTGCCCTAGCACCCACTTCCCACTTGCCCACCTGTGAATCCAACCCACTCTCCAAACAGAGGCCAGCCCCACCCTGTGTGGGGGATCCTGGGAGCCAGGACCCCGTCGTATCCTCCATCTCAGCAGCCAGGGAAAAGGCTGAGCCGCCACCCCCTCTCCCCCCGCAAGGATGTACCCCTTAGACTCCCACAGCTGTGCCTCCCCCTCAGACCACACGTCTCCCCCTCAGACACCTCCTGGACGCCTCCAGCCACAGGAAACTCAGTGCCACGGACACACCAGCCCAGGCTGCGGCTGGCAGGGTCCCCGTTCCTCGTGCCCATTTCCCACCACGTCCCAGCAGGCAGGCCTCACCTCGCTTCTGCATGAAGCTGAACAAGTCGTCCAGGAACTCCTTCCTCTTGGGGTCCCCGTCCAGTTCGTAGAGCTGTGAGGGCAAGGAGGGGAGCAGTTACCTGAGGCCAGGGCTTGGCACAGGCACCATGTCTCCACAAGGAGTCCACTGAGGGGCTGCTGACAGGGACGGGATCTGGGGGTCCCAGCCCCAGCACCACCCGGAGTTCAGGCATCTCCCGAGGCCCCACCAAGCAATGAGCCTGCCCTCCACTTTCAGGTGAGGACAGAGCCACCCGACGAGTCTCCCACGTGGTTGAAAACAACAGAGTTTATCCTCCTACAGTTCTGGGGCCAGAAGTCTGCGATCGAGGTGTGGCAGGGCCACACTCCCTCCTGAGGCTCCAGGGGGGCCCCTCCTGCCTCTTCTAGCTTCTGGGAGCTCCAGGCGCCCCTGGACTTGTCGCTGCACCACCCCAGTCTCTGCCTTTGCTGCCACATGGCTCTCCTCTGTGTCCAAATCCCCTCTTCTTACAGGACACCTGTCACTGGGTTTAGGGCCACCTCATCTCATCACAATGTTTAACTAGTGACATTTGCAAAGACCCTACTTCCAAATAAGGTCCCGTTCACAGGGACTGGGAATTGGGCCTTAAACACATCACTTAAAAAAAATCATTTTAGAGAGAGAGAGAGAGAGACAGAGAGTGTGGGGTGGGGGGGACCCATCAATTTATTGTTGCACTGGTTTATGCATTTATTGGTTGATTCTCATTTGTGGCCTGACCAGAGATGGAGCCTGCAACCTGGATGTACCGGGATGATGCTCCCGCTAACTAAGCGACTGTCCAGGGCTTAGACACATCACTTTGGGGGGGACAGTTCATTTCAAACAGCATCCACCCAGGTCGTTGCCACCACGAGGAATCCTGACCCTGTCCAGTGAGTCACATGACACCGAGGCACAGAGGCATCGGGGAGACTGCAGCCCTGGACTGTGGAGGCCTCGGGGTCTAGACTCGGTCCTGGGCACTGGCTGCCTGGGTTTGCCAGTCATCACAGGAGGGGAAAGGGCCTCCTTTTGGGGTTTGGGAGGCAGGGGGTCCTCTACCCCATTGACCATGACCTCCCAGGTGCTGGAGGAGAAAGCCAGTAGAGATCATTAAAGAGTGAGGAGGGGGAGGCAACTGGCTGAGAAGAAGCAGTGAAAATTAAGCTCTAGGAAATACAGCACTGTGACTGCCTGGTCATGGAGGGACCGGGACCATGGGGGACCTGGAAACCACCAGTCAGCCCTAGCTCGGCTGGAATCATCCATCATCAGGGCCCAATAATGCCCCAACACCCTTTCCTCTGACAGGGATATCCGGGGGCCTAGGGAGGTGGGATTGTCAGGGCCAACCATTCCTCAGCCATTTTGCCCCTCTCTGGGCCTCAGTTTCCCCATCTGTGTAATGGAGACAAAATGGGGGGGTCTCCAAGGCAAGGACTGGGGGAGACAGGAGCCCAGACCTGGGTGGTCGAGACCTTTGTCTCCTCCTGCCGGGCCTGGCCCGGCCACATTCCTGTGCTGATTTATGGTGTCCAGGGAGGCCCGTATTTCCCCGCCTGAAGGGCGTGGGCCCAGCAGGTGGACCTTCCATCGGCGTGCTCACGCCAGGCCTTGTCTGTCCACTCCCTGCCCACATGACACCCCCCGTGTCCCCTCCCCACTCTCCTCCTCCCTGGCTGGGAGTGTGAATTCACACACGCCTGGTTCCCTGTCTGCCCTGTGGGAGATCAGGGATGTTGTTTATGTTGTTGCCAGTATCTAGGAGGCAGCTGAGCACACAGCAGCTGTGTAGGAAATGCTAGCTAAGTGAGCCCCGCTTTCCTAGCTGCAAGGTGGGCCCAGCGAGGCAGAGAGTGGGGTCGGGTAGACTCGTGCATTGGCAGGTGCCCCCAGAACCTCGGGAGGGGACCTTATTGTGAAACAGGACCTCTGCAGATGTCACACTGGAGGCGGTGGCCCTAATTCAATGACAGTGTTCTTATAAGAAGAGGTGGGAGCCCTGACCGGTTTGGCTCAGTGGATACAACGCCGGCCTGCAGACTGAAGGGTCACAGGTTCGATTCCGGTCAAGGGCATGAACCTTGGTTGCGGGCACATCCCCAGTAGGAGGTGTGCAGGAGGCAGCTGATCGATGTTTCTCTCTCATTGATGTTTCTAACTCTCTATCCCTCTCGCCTCCTCTCTATAAAAAATCAATAAGATATATTTTTTTTTTAAAAAAAGAAGAGGTGGGACACAGACACAGAGGAGAAGCCACGTGGGGACAGAGGCAGAGACTAGAGAGACGAGGCCAATGTGGCCGCAAGTCCAGGAACATGGGAGCCCCCAGAAGCTGGAAGAAGCAGGAAGGACCCTCCTCAGAACCTCCAGGAAGCGCGGCCCCGTGACACCTTGATTTCAGACTTCTGGCTCCGAGATCTGAGAGGATAAATTATTGTTTCAAGCTGCTCCGTGTGTGGTCATTTGTCATGGCGTGGAAACTCATTGCGGGCAGCGTGTTCTCCTTTGAGATCCTGACCCAGGTGGGGGAGGGTCCACACGGCCTAAACCCCTTCCCCAGGCCCAGCCCTCACAAGACCTCCATGCTCCTCCTGCCTCAGCCTGCCCCTCTTGAGAGGCCACTGTGCAATAAACACAACAGGGTCACCCTCAGCACCTGGAACCGTAACGGCCCTCATCGTCCAGGTGGGAAACTGAGGCTCAGGGTGGAGACCAGCTGCTCCATAACCCCTTGGCAGAGGGGGCTGGCTCAGTGGGGGTGCGGGGCTGTTAACCCCAGGCCAAATGGTGGGCAGACCCCGTGGGGCCAGGGCATAGCATGAGGCCATAAAAGGGGATGTGTGGTGAATAAGGCAGCTTTAATAGCCGTGTCATGGGCAGCTGACAACAAAGCCGGGCAATAAAGGCTGCCCTAGCTTTATGGGGCTCTGGCCCCAAGTTCCGCACCCCTGTGGCGTGTGTCCCGCCCTAGCCAGCTGGATGGGGCTGTCCGCCAGGCCACAGGAATGGGGAGCTGGGGACGGTGTCGAGACTCCTAATGGCGGTGTTCAGACCTCCCTTGTGGGCCAGTGGGCCAGGCTGCCTGTCCCCACAAGGCTCTCGAGTCACACAGCTGGGCCACAACACATCCTTCACCGCACCCCAGCCTGGTTCCCTGGCTGGAACCCTGCCCCCCTCAAGGTGGACAAGAGGCGCCGAGATCGGCCACCTGCCATACCCAGGGCCACAAACCCCGGCTGCAGACTGGGACAAACCTCCGGGAACTCCTCCTTGGGGCTGAGGCCTGAGACAAGGGCCCTGCTCTCCTCCCTGAGACCTGATTTCCCGGGGACCAAGTGCCAGGCACCGAGGATGAGTCTCACTCTGGCTTTTGTCTGATTCTAAGGATACCCATCCCTGCAGCCCACGAGGTCCCACAGACCCAGCCGGCCCTGTGCCGTCTCACCTCTCACCTGGCCACTTCTGCTACTCAAACCCATCAGCAGGTTCCACCTCCCGGCCTGTGCCCTGGCATTTCCACCTGGAATGCCTTTCCCAGCTCTGCCCCAGCTGGCTTCCCCTTCATCCAGAGGTCCCACAGCTCAAAGGACACCACCACCAAGGGCCCACCCCTCCCTGAAAGAAGCCCCCGCCCTCAGATATCCCACCACAGCCCTGCCTCTCCCGAGCACTCTGCTCTCACGTGGAA